AAAAAAAAAAAAAAAAACTACAATGAGATACCACTTTACCCCTATCAGAATGGACATTATTAAAAAGTCAAAAAACATGGACACAGAGAAAAAGGAACACTTACACACTGTTGGTGGGACTGCAAATTAGTACAATGTCTATGGAAAACGGTATGGAGATTCCTCGAACAAATAAATGTAGACCTACCATTTGATCCAGCAATCCTACTGCTGGGTATCTACCTAAAGGAACAGAAATCGTTTTATCAAAAAGACCCTTGCACTCAAATGTTTATCACAGCACAATTCACAATTGCAAAGATGTGGAATCCACCTAAGTGCCCATCAATTCACAAATGGATAAAGAAAATGTGATATATATGGGTACCGTGAAGTATTACTCAGCCATAAAAAGGAATGAAATAATGTCATTTTCAGGAACTTGGATGGAACTGGAGACCATTATCCTCAGTGAAGTATCTCAGGAATGGAAAACCAAACACCACATGTTCTCACTAACAAGTGGGAGCTAAATGATCAGTACACACGGGCACAAAGATGTAAAACACATTGGAAACCAACAAGGGGGAAGGTGGGAAGGGGGTGAGAGATAAAATCTTTCCTATTGGGGCCAGGCGCGGGGGCTCACGCCTGTAATCCTAGCACTCTGGGAGGCCGAGGCGGGAGGATTGTTTGAGCTCAGGAGTTCGAGACCAGCCTGAGCAAGAGTGAGACCCCGTCTCTACCAAAAATAGAAAGAAATTAATCGGACAACTAGAAATATATAGAAAAAATTAGCCGGGCATGGTGGCGCATGCCTGTAGTCCCAGCTACTCGGGAGGCTGAGGCAGGAGGATTGCTTGAGCCCAGGAGTTTGAGGTTGCTGTGAGCTAGGCTGATGCCACAGCACTTTAGCCTGGGCAACAGAGTGAGACTCTGTCTCAAAAAAAAAAAAAAAGCAACCAAAAGAAAAACTTAACTTATTGGCTACAATGAACCTTATTCTGGTGATGGGCACACCCAAAGCCCTGACTTAAGCATTATACAAGGTATCCATGTAAGAAAAACATTTGTACCCCTTTATGTTTTAAATTAAAACAAAACAAAATGACAAAAAAGATAAACTTCTTATACTTGCCCTATCACCAATCTGTCATTCACTCTGTTCTAGCCAAAACAAGCATTAAATGACCACTGCAGCGATGCTGTTATATTTCCTTAAACTTGTACTCCAGCATCCTCTCCTCACCAGGGCTGGATTAAAATATGTTTCTTGTACCAACCAAAAAAACCAAAAAAAAAAAAAACAAAAAAAACAAAAACAAAAGAAAGGAAATCAGTGTATGAAAGAGGGATCTGCACTTCCATGTTTATCATAGCACCATTACCAATAGCCAAGATACGGAATCAACCTAAGTGTCCATCAGTGGGTGACTGAATAAGGAAAATGGGGTATATATTTACATAATAGAATATTATTGAGCCATAAAAAATGGAATCTTGTCATTCGCAGCAACATGGGTGAGCTTGGAGGACATTATGTTAAGTAAAATAAGCCAAACACAGAAAGACAAATATTGCATGTTCACACTAAAATGCGAGAGCTAAGAGAGTTGATCTCATGGAGGTAGAGCAAAGAATGGTAGTTATGATAGGCTGGGAATGGTGCCAAGTGGTGAAGAGAGGTTAGTTAATGGGTACAAACATATGGTTAGATAGATGAATAAGTTCTAGTGTTTGATAGCACAGTAGGGTGACTATAGTTATTAATAATATATTGTATATTTCAAAATAGAGCAATTTATTGTATATTTCAAAATAGAGAAACAGAGATTTAGAATGTTCTAAATAAAAAAAACAATAAATGTTTGAGGTGATGAATTACTTTGATTTGATCATTATACATTATATACATGTATCAAAATATCACATGTACCCCATAAATATGTACTATTATTATGTATCAATTTTTGAACAAAAAAGAATTTTTTAGATACAGGGTCTCACTCCGTCACCCAGGCTGGTGTGCAGTGGAACAATTACAGCTCATTGCAGCCTCAAACTCCTGAGCTCAAGTGATTTGCTTGTTCAGCCTCCTAAGTAGCTAGGACTACAGTCATGCACCACCATGCCTGGCTAATTTTTTAATTTTGGGTAGAGACAGGTCTCACTATGTTGCCTAAGCTGGACTTGAACTCCTGGCCTGAAACGATCCTCCTGCTGTGGCGTCTCGAAATGCTGAGATTACAGGCATGAACCACCATGCTGGCTTTGCATCTTTTTTTTTTTAGACAGAGTCTTGCTCTGTTGCCTGGGCTAGAGTGCCGTGGCGTCAGCCTAGCTCATAGGAACCTTAACCTCCTGGCCTTAAGCAAGCCTTCTGCCTCAGCCTCCAGAGTAGCTGGGACTACAGGCATACGCCCCCATGCCCAGCTAACTTTTTCTATATATTTTTAGTTGTCTAGCTAATGTCTTTCTATTTTTAGTAGAGACGGGGTCTCGCTCTTGCTCAGGCTCGTCTTGAACTCCTGAGCTCAAACGATCCTCCTGCCTCGGCCTTCCAGAGTGCTAGGCTTACAGGCGTGCGCCACTGCGCCCAGCCTGTATCAATTTTTAAAAGTCCATTCACAACAATCTCAGCTTCTAGCATGCACTGCAAAACTCTTCCAGCCTCCACCCACTACCCTGTTCTAAAGCTGCTTTCACATTTTTAGGTATTTGTTACAGCAGCACTCCACTTCTTGGTACCAATTTCTGTCTTAGTCTCTTCAGGCTGATATAACAAATTACCATAAACTGGGTGGCTTATAAACAACAGAAATTTATTTCTCACAGTTCTGGAAGCTAGAAGTCTGATATCAGGGTGCCAGCACTGTTGGGTTCTGGTCATATTTCTCTTCTGACTGCAAACTTCTGACTTCTCCCTGTATCCTCACATGGTATAAAGAACGAGCTAGCTCTCAAGCCTCTTCCTAAAAGGGCACTAATCCCATTCATGAGGGTTCCATTCTCAGGACCTAATTACCTCTCAAAGGCTCCACCTCCACATACCATTACATTTAGGATTAAATTTCAACATACGAATTTTGGAAGAACACAAATACTGAGTCCATAATAGGCTACAAAGTGTTTCCTTTTCATTTAATAAGAAATAGTTCTTCTGTTTCTGGAGCTATCCCGTTTTCCCTTACCTTCTCTAAATACTTCCTTCTCTGATTAATAATGCCTCAATTTTCTTGTTTTTAATTTGATAGGAAGGAGAAATAAATGATTAAAAATCATTTGATAAAATTTGTCCCCAGAAGCTATCCTTCCCCATAGTCAAATTATGTTGTCAGAATATGATGCAAACTGATAATGATGTCATAAACCCCTGGAACATACTGAACCATATAAAAGCCAGTAGTTACCTTAGGAGAAGAAACATTTTAATGAAGCCCTGGACATGAATCTTTTTATTTATATCCTACTTTTGTCCATTTGGACATATAATTGTTTAAAAACAAACCAAAGTGATGTATCTTCTACTACAGGTATGTGCCTAACCTTAAAACTTATAAATTATGATCTATTTATGGATTCAAGCACTTAACTAGAAAAGCTTGCTGTGTTTAAGAAGTCTGATACTACTTTGGTGTTATCATTAGTAGGTCTTCAGGAGTTTCTGGAACAGTAGCTGATATTTTGACTTTTGTGTGAAAAACCCAAGCAAAATACAATACAAGCATAAAGAGTATAGACTATGGTTCCCTTTCACCCTCCTTCCCCACCCAATCCACTAACCCCCACCCCCAACCAAACTAGATAATACTATATGAATGGATCTGGCATGGGACTTAAAATATAGTAGGTTTTCAACAAGAGTTTGTTCTTGTCCCATCCCCTTCCCATCACACACATTATCACTCAAGTGCACTCACACAAGAATGACATAAAGATACGCATACACGAAAACCTGGATAATGTAGTGAACAAGCCATGATTCAGGGGTAACCCAGGTCATGGTTTGGATTAGACAGAGATGCCTCCCAGATTTGACTTCTAGACCGTAGCTGGGGACTTGATAGAGGGAAAAAAAACAAAACAAAACAGTGGAACTCTTATCAGGTTTTAAAAATCATTGATTTGATTTTGATCTATAGTGACAAACCACTATCAAAGTGGAAGAAAACTTGGTTACCTAACACCTTCTCTGATGATACAATCTCTTTGCAGGAGCTAAGCCCTTTGAATCAATGGAGACAAAAATGGACAGTTTTAGGAGACGTCTACTCATTATCGTAATTGGTATTATGATCATAGCCTTCATCTCTACCTGTTTTTGTTTCCTCCATTTTAATTGTATGAGTGATGAAGCCCCCAAAGCCGGAATGTAAGTTTTACATCTTTGAATTAAGAATACAAGGCATGTGTGTGTATACATATAGTGGAAGTTTCATTGTTGTTCAGGTTACTTAATGTTAACTTTAGATTTCTAAAAAGCTTCCAACCTCTTTTGGGTGGATACTTTCACTTAAATTATATCGGCTCTTAAATATTCTCAAATATATTATCAACTTTATCCAAGGCTGTCTCCTATTCAGGGTTCAGCTGAACCCCAGGCTATTAATTTAATTATAAATTCAGAGTAGGAAAAAAGGGCATGAGTATCTGAATAAGAATAGGAGAATGAAGAGAGAGAGAGGGCGTTGGGTCACTATTTTCCAAAGACAATAAAATGTTTTGGATAATCTGCCATTTTAAGATTTAATATTCTGAAAAATTATTCACTGTTGTTATTCTCATGATCTCAGTACCTGCCTTTCATACTGGAGAATCAGATTGACCCTAATATACTAGTTCCCTAAAAATTTCCCAATCCAAGGACTTGTGACAAAAATGTGGTACCGGTGCTCTATTCCTTTAGTTTTAGAGGAATATTATGAATTTAAATATGCATGAATAGATAACCTGATGTAAATACGATAGGAAAACAATGACTTTGTTGTAAAGAGGTTTTTATTTTCTTGTGACATGTTATCAGTTTGTGATTTTTTTATAAAAAGTTTAATTTCTGGAATAAGTGAGATCTCTCTCTCTCTCTCTCTCTCTCTCTCTCTCTCTCTCTCTCTCTCTCTCTCCCTCCCTCTCTTTCTCTTTCTTGACAGTAGATTTGAAACAACTTTGTGTCATTCCGTATATAGGCTATATGGTCATCTAATGTGGTTGAATTAGTAAAATATTCTTAAGAAAAAGCATTCAACATGAGTTCATATCTGTAACATGAGTCATGGCTATCACCATACTCCAATTCTTACTGTGTTCAGTTTTCTTACTAGAGCCCAAAAAAGACCGAAGGTCTAAGCTGACACAGTATTCTATGTTTTCTGATGTTATACTCTAAATTTTCTATACTTTCAGGATCAAGAAAGAAGGTGCAGCAGCCAAGAAATCCAGGTCATCCAAAATGTCATTCAGTGAATCTAAGACAGCCAGTCTGTGCAATCAGGAAAAACAACCCATGCTATCCACTGTAGACAGGTTATCTAGGCCCTTGAGTTCAGATAACTCATCCATACCATCCAGTACAGAAAACTTAATCAAGTCATCAAGTCCAAAAAAGTTATCCAAACCATCAAGCTCAAAAAAACTATTCAGGTCATCTCACTTGGAAAAGTCATACAGAAAACGCTCTCTAAAAAAACCATGTAAGCTATCCCATGCCCCTAAGCTAGTTAGTCCATTCAGTCCAGATAAGTCAGCTGGGCTACAATATCCAGCCAAGCCACTATCCAAGACACCATGTCCTCCTTTTCCACAAAATGAAATCTTGCCATCCAAGTCATCCAGGCTACAGAAATTGGCCAAGCCACCTAGACGTCTTAAAAGGTCAGTGAATATAGGCAAGGCAGCTTTGTTATCCAGGCCTCAATTAGCCAATACCTGTCAATGCTACGAGGAAAGATGCCTTGTTTGCAAAACTTTTTCTGAGCCATTGGTCAACGATATTTCTGAGGCAAAGAAGAAACAAGCACAAAACCTACCTGTTTCAAGTAACGTGAAGTCTTTTCCTGGGTCCTTTGATAAGGTAGATTCCAGGGACAATACATACCATGATAATAATATGAGCGACAGTGATATGATGACATATAACAGTGCTGATGACAGTGACAGAGAGATAACCATTATTTGCAATGTGAGACAAAATGAAGTCATCTTTAAAGAGACTCCAAATAATTAAGGGCTCAATAAAAATAAAATCCAACTGTGAAGGAGCAAACTTATACCAACTATTTTATGCTCATCATCTTTTAAGACACTAATAGAGGGAAAATCCACTTGTGATCACTACTGAGATTAGTCCTATCCATCTTGGAAGCAATTTATTTAAAAAAACAGAAATTAAATGCATGCCATAACAAATTATTGTTGTAAGTGTCATTGTATTTTAGCGCAAAATGCTCTTTTGATGTGTCTTACTTAGATCTGGTCACTTGTATGGGAACCACAAACATACACACACACACATAAACCTAGAAAAAAATTGCGGGATGGGTACCCTGGACTCCTGCTTTCCTTGGATAAGCTCTAAACTGAAGTCCCAATCCAATTAAGTTTAGTTTTTAATGTTTATGTGCAGTCCTCACAGTTTAAGACTGTCTCTTTTTCTGTAGTGCCCAGTGCTTCTTGGAAATAACTCTGTGCTATGAACTGAATGTTTATGTTCCCCATAAATTCATGTTTTGAAACCTAATCCCCTATGTGATAGTATCAGGAGGTGGGGCCTTTGGGAGGTAATTAGGTCATGAGGGTGGAGCCCTCATGAATGAAATTAGTGCCCTTATAAAGGGCTAAAGAGACTGGAGTTCACCCCTTCCACCATGTGAGGACCCAGCCAAAAAACTCTGTCTATGAACTATATAGCTGACCCTTGCCAGACACTGAATCTGGTGGTATCTTGATCTTGGACTTCACAGCCTCCAGAATTGTGAGCAAGAAGTTTCTTTTTTTTTTTTTTTTTTGATACAGAGTCTCACTCTGTTGCCCAGGCTAGAGTGCCGTGGCATCAGCCTAGCTCACAGCAACCTCAAACTCCTGGGCTTAAGCAATCCTTCTGCCTCAGCCTCCCAAGTAGCTGGGACTACAGGCATGCGCCACCATGCCCGGCTAATTTTTTCTATTTTTAGTTGTTTGGCTAATTTCTTTCTATTTATAGTAGAGACAGGGTCTCGCTCTTGCTCAGGCTGGTCTCGAACTCCTGAGCTCAAGCAATCCTCCCACCTCAGCCTCCCAGAGTGCTAGGATTATAGGCGTGAGCCACCACACCCGGCCAGCAAGAAGTTTCTGTTGTTTATAAGCCACCCAGTTTATGGTATTTTGCTATAGCCACCTGAATAGACTAAGATATTCTGGATGCTTGGTTCTGGCTGAGTTGGGAAAATTCCTGATAACCAACCACTTCTAACACCGTTGCCTCTAGTGGTTGCTACTTAACATGAAGATCCAGCCTGCAGTACCCACACCTGGAGCATCATGATATTAGTCTAAGTGTTCTAATCTTTATAACTCTCAACAAAGCTTTCCATTCTTTCTGTTATCCTTCAAAATGGTAGAAGAGTTTTCCCTGGTATGCACTCTTAAATGATTCCAGTTGGAGGTCTGCTGTTTTATATATTTTTCCTACATGGTACCTCCCCACTCTGAATCAGCAGGGGTGGGAGGCCAGGGGAGAATCTTGGAGATGTATCCTCTATTTTCTCCATTGATAAAATATTATCCATGTCTTCTTCCAAGGGCATGGATGAAAAAAGCAGGCAAAGTCTTCAATTCTCAGCCTATATTCTTGTAGAGTATGGTTTGTTCCATATAACATCTAGCAGGTACAAGTTGAATGCCGGTAGCAAGCATATATTAGATATGTAGTATTTTTCAGGTACTATACTAGTCCATTTATGTCTCACAAATCCTAAGGTCACCCTCAAGTTTGCTGATTCACCAAGAGGACTCATAAAACTCAAAAACAGGTTATATTCATGGCTAAGGTTTATTAAGGCAAAATTATACAAACCAAAAGCAACAGGAAAAAAATATATATCAGAAGAAATCCAGAGAGGTCAGGCATGGGCTTTCAAGTACTTCCCCATGTGGGGCCACACAGGATGTGCTTTCTCTCTAGCAGCAATCTACATGGACACGCAAAATGTTTCTTCCCAGGGAAGTCTGTTCAAATCTCTGGGTCTGAGGCTTTTATTGAGAGCCAGTCACATAGGGACATCATGCTATATGACCAGCCATGGCAGCTGAAACTCAGGATCCCAACAATGAAACGAAATGCACATCATGTGTATTGATGTTCGTGCAAAGTAATCCTGACAAGCTGATATAGCATGGTCCATTGCTCTAGGTGTACACAACGTAATTATCAACCATTAACAGAAGAACATTCTAAGCCCGTGTGCCCAGGGGTTGGCCCAAAGTTTCCAGATTCCCTTGAAGACATGCAAGGACTAAACAACCAGACCTGTTATGTTAATACTTTCCTTACATTTCATGTATTTTATTTAAACTCCCAACGTTCCCCCATTACCTGAGGGATTATGCAAGTAAACTGAGGCTCTGTGACACATGTTAAGCTCACATCTAGTAATTGTTCAAACTGAAATTTGAATGTATGACTGGCTTATGATCAATCTTTTATTATGTTGTACTGCCTTCTGACTACCAGCTACTAGAGTGTTCACTATTCACAGATCACCCAATCTGTTGATGTAAGCAAAATCCCTACTGGACTCAATCTCCCAGCCTGCCAGGGGCATATAAAGATGTTTTATGTTCATTCAGATCTGATTTCCCTGTGGCCTCTGCGCTACACAGTTGCGCCCCCTGCCCCCGACCAGGCTCTGTACCTATAAAGCCGTCATAAAATTCTCAGTTAGCACAAAGTAACTCCGTATGCATAAAAGTTTTAAGAGATAGTATATGCATTAATTAAGCATTGTGGGAGCTACAGACTTGATTTCCTACTGGTATTACCTATTTTAAACAGACAAACTGTACAGGAATGAGTTGCGGTTCTGGATTAGAAAAGCCTAGTCTTTTAACAATTTACGAATGGAAGCAAAAGTTATGATCAAAAATTTAAACTGCTTATTATGAAAAAAGGTCAAATACATACAGAAGTAGAGCAAGTAGTATACTGAACCCCCATATAACCATTACTCAGATTCAACAATTATCACTAAATGGCCACTCTTTTTTCATTTATACTCCTTTTCTCCGGAAGTAGAGAGATAAAAATAAACAAAAAAATCATTTATATTCCTATCTATCTATTCCCTCTCTCATTTATTTATTTAAAAGATAATTGCTTTTTAAAATATATAAACACAATACCATTATCTCACCTAAAAATTAATTATAATTTCTTAATGTCAATTATCCAGTCTGTGTTCAAATTTCTCCTTCCATCTCCTAAAGTTACTACAGTTGCTTTGTTCAAATGATGTTGATCAATGTTTGAAAACATCTAAGACTAAGTTTTTTTTAAATCAATATTACGATTCCAGCAGGGCTCATGCCTGTAATCCTAGCACTTTGGGAGGCTGAGGCAGGAGAATTGCTTGAGCCCGGGAGTTAGAGGTTGCAGTGAGCTAGGCTGACACCATTGCACTCTAGCCCAGGCCACAGAGCAAGACCCTGTCTCCAAAATAATTGCAATTTCATTGCCTAATCTGGCTTCATATTTTAGGATGATTTTGGAGCTAATCTGAGCTAGCCTGGAAAATGGCAAAAGTTGAAATTGTATGATTTTCAGTTTAAATTCATCTGATGTCTTGATAGACAAAGCCAAATAATCTAAGCTCTATTCTCTTTCTCAATTGAATCTATAGATATATAATATTTCAAAAGCTGTGAATATTACTATTTGATAAAAATGACTACCAGTGACAATCAATAATAATGACATCTTAAAAAAAGTTATCTGCATGACTATTTATGTTCCTTTTAAACCACACTTAATTATAGAGTAGGAGTCTACAGAATATTTGGAACTCATTCAATATGCAAAAATCTAAGTGCATTAATGGGGGCTTCATACATAAAGCCAATATTGAATATATAACAAAAATATATGTACCACGAGTCAGAGAAGTATTTTAGCAAGGAAGGAAGGAAGGAAGGAAGGAAGGAAGGAAAGAAAGGATTTACCAGTGAAAACTTTCCCAGGCTAATAATTAAAATAATTAAGCCTATCACTCCAATAGATAGTACTTCTTAGAAATGTCCTGATTTAAGCAAGAGAGTTACAAATTTCTCCTTCCCGCTCTTCTTGCAGCATTGTCTTATCTCTTATGGTACTTTACTCCCTTCTCTCCCACTCTCCATTTTCCCCCTATTCAGTAAATCAGGGTCATAGGCTCAGTCCATCCATTGCTTCCTTACATGTTCCTTGTCCAGAGGACGCTGTGCAGTCAATTTCAAGTGCAGTTCTTCCCTCTCGCACCTGCCCTCTTTCTGTTCAATCTGCCTTCCTAACACTCATTTACAAAATTCATACCTTGCTCCTGGCTGTGGGACTGAAATGGATTATATTTTGCTCCTTTTATTCAGTACAACCATTTCTAAAAATCCATTATTTTTTTTAAAGTGCTGAAAGGTCAGGTTTTATTTTTTTTAATTGTTTTAAACCTCTCCCTCCCCTAAGGTCAGGTTTTAAATATTTCTCTTGTATGTTCTTTACATGAACGTATGTAAACATGGAGCTGAAAGGATGCTTAGAGATCCTCAATTCCACCATCCTGTGGGGCGAGGGAGTACTGTGAAGGGCTGAAAGAATGCTCATTCAGCAAGACCACTGTTGATCAAGAGTTGGGGTGAGGTGGCTGAGAATCACAGATCTTTAGGCAGGTACAAAGAAGTGATACACCAGATATGGGATGGTTATGGTGGTATCAAGCAAGGACTTACTAAAAGTCTTCGGCTGTGGCAGTTCCCACAATTCTATAGTTCCTGCTACATAATGTGCAATCCCTAAGAATTAGAAGCAGCAAAGGAAGAAAAATAGAAGTAGGAAAAAAGATATTTTGGAGCTTCAGCCAAATATCTCCTTCACCGTAACCCACGTACAACCCACAATTATTCCTGTGCTGCTGTGACCTTAGAAGAAAAGGGTTAAGCATGATTAATTTGTTTCACAATTATCTACATAGTGTATAGAAAGGGCATAAACAAGGGCTAATT